CCTGAAATGGAGCCAGAGATAATGACATGGAGCAATGAAGCAGCTGGAGACTTTAGATCTAGAGAGGGAGAGCGACTGTGTGCTGAAGACCTGGGGGGTATGGGGGAAGGATTTCATGAAGGGAATTATAACCATGGCAATGAGACGATATATGATAGAATGAATGTAAAACCAATGTTCTCCCATGTAAACTATCACATAATTCACAATAAAACATTTAAACAAACAAACAAACAAACAAAAAATTATAATAATTGGGTAATAAAGACAGCTCTGACCAGGCATCTTAAAAGCTTCCAAAAAAATTAACTTGTGGTTTTAGTCTTGTAAATCTATTGTTACATGTAAGCAGAACTTGCAGTATGGTTTACACCTTGATAGAAAGAAATAAAAAATCCTCACAACTGGACCCATAAACAACATCATGATGTTGTTATGTGCTGTGGAGTCGGTTTCGACTCATAGCGACCCTGTACAGGGTTTCCAAGGCTGTAAATCTTTACGGGAGCAGAAAGCCTCCTCTTTCTCCCGCAGAACAGCTGGTAGTTTTGAACTGCTAACCGTGGGGTTCGCAGCCCAATTCTTAACCATAAATGGAGTAAAGATTGAAGTTGTCAAGGGTTTTATTTTTGTTGGATGCACAGTTAATACGCATGGAGGCATCAGTGAAGAAATCAAAGGACGTACTGCATTAGGCAACTCTGCTGCAAAAGACTTTAAAGTTTCAAAAGCAAAGATGACACTGTAAGGACTAAGGTGCCTCTGACTCAAGCCATGGTATTTTCTATCACCTCAATTGGTTGGTTATGTGCCGTGGGATCGGTTCCGACTCATAGCGACCCTGTACAGTGTTTCTGAGGCTGTAAATCTTTATGGGAGCAGAAAGCCTCATCTTTCTCCCGTGGAACAGCTGATAGTTTCGAACTGCTGACCTTGCAGTTTTGCAGCCCGATTCATAACCACTATGCGAAAACTGGACATTGAATAAGACAGACAGAAAAACTGGTGCCTTTCAATTGTGGTTTTGGCAAAGAATATTGAGTGGACTGCCAGAAGAACAAACAAATCTATGTTAGAAGAAGTATAGCCAGAGTGCTTCTTAGAAGTTAGCATAATTTAGACATGTTTTCAGGGGCACCACTCTGTGAAGAAGGACATCATGCTTAGTAAAATAGAGGATCAGCAAAAAATGAGGAAGACCCTCAACAAGATAGCTTGACAACGATGACCACAACAACAGGATGAAGCATAGCAGCAGTTGTAAAGGTGGCATAAGATTGGGCATGTTTTGTTCAGTTGTACATCGGGTCACCATGAGTCACAACCAACTGGAAGACCGTCATCTGACAACAACAAGAAGCTGAGTATGTGAGATACGGTTTTGTTGTTACAAATAACTACAGGATTATTTTTATTAAAATAAATAAATCTCTGCTGAAATATTGCACATGAATGTATAGACAGTCATTTGGTGTCACACACACATGCCGGCAGTGTCATCTGGTACAGTCCACACGCCATAGTGAAGCCACTGCCTGCAGAGCCCTGAACTTCCCCTGCCACTACTCGGGGACTTGAGGCTACCATGGCTGGCCTCTGCAACGTGAAAAAGGAAAAATAAAGGAAAGAGGAGAGCCTGTGGGCCTCACAAATGTGTGTTTTAAAATCACTTCTCAGGAAGGCAGGACAAGGAAGGAAAGGAAAAATCCTGAAATGGAACTGAAACTAACACTTCAGTAAAAGCTTCTCAGACTTATCATTTCCTGCACTCTAGTGACTATCTCAATGTTTGGTCCACAGTAGGCACCCAGGAAAGTTTTGTTGAACCAGAGCGATGCCTCAGTAGCCAAGACGTTTCCTTTGAACGATTGCTAGTTGTCTATATCAGTTTAGACTGATTATGGGATGTTCATGAAAACACAAAGGAAAATCTGCCCTCAGACTGCATAGAGTTTGCATTCACTCAGAGAGAAATTGGTAGCTGCCTTGGCGTCAGCTCAGACTCACAGATACCTTATGGACAACAAAAGGTAACGCTGCCCAGTTGGGCATCATCCTGGTGATCACTGGCACATTTGAGTGCATAGGTGCAGCTATTGTGCCAGTGTCTCACAGAGAATCAGTGGCCCCTGCTTCACCAAACTGATGCCCTTTTCCTAGTGACGATTCCCTCCTGATGGAGTTAGACGGTATTATGATCCATAAGTTTTCATTGGCTCGTTTTTGGAAGTAGATTGTCAGGCCTATTTTATTTTAAAGTCTGTCTTAGTCTGGAAGCTCCATTGAAACATTTCCACTGTAGGTGACCCTGGTGATCTCTCAAATACCAGTGGCAAAGCCTCTAGCATCACAGCCACACTTAAACCACAAACGGGCATATGTGTGGTGGCATGCATTCAAACACAGCAGCAATTTTATGAAAAACATATGCTCAGGGATAGAGTGGTGACTAAGACAATGAACAGCCTGGGGTCTAGAGGAGAATGAATCAAGTAAACAGTGTGAACATATAAGCCCTGCTTAAGAGGCAGGGAAATCTGCCTACCTAGAAGTAGCTCCCACCATTACCTTGACAGGGAACAGCTATTGTGACGATGGTGCAGGACCGGGTAGTGTGTTGTTCTGGTGTGCAGAAGGTCACTGTGAATTGGAACTGACTCAATGGCACCTAACAACAACAATATTAAGGCTGAAGGTCCCAATTAAAAAGTAATAGTATCCTGGAGGCGTATTGGTAGGATTAGTACTGCACTGTTTCAGCGCATTGCAGTCCTGAACCAATAAGTAAATCTTGGAGCCATATTGTCTGACTGAACAATAAAGAATGCTTAAATCAAGAGACCTAAGAATAAACTAGAATTCTCAAACTAGTAGTCAGCTGATCAAGCATGACCCACAGACTACTCTGGCAATGGACATGGTTTGTTTACTCCGCTGAATGTTTACAAAATTTCAAGCCAACATGTCAAAATCCAAAAGATTTCTGACTTCTCTTAAAAATCCAGACTGTCTGGTGGCACTGGGCACAGGGCAGGTGTGAGCCAGGTTGCCGCAGCTCCCACTACACACACTAGATTTGCATATCCACTGTAATAGGCTAGCCCCTGTAGACATTTGTGTGGCATTGTTATAAATAAAAACAGCAATGGTAAGTTTTAAGAAGTCATAACATTTTAGTATAGTCTTAAGGAATTTGGGGGGACAATCAAAAGAGTGTCTTCCATAAAGAAAAGAAGAATTCAATGAAGCAAATATTTAATGAGTGCCTACTATAAATGTCAGGCAGTTTGGCTTTAGCAGAGTGCAAGCTAGAGCTGATTTCTTGTCCTATAGAGTAGCTGCACAGTGGGAGATACAAGTAAGTAAACAGGCAATGACAGTATGACATTTTACTCTGTTGGGAATTTTCAAGGTACCCTGGGAGTACAGGCTTGAATGGACTAGAGAGGAAATGAAGGTATCAAGTACCACATAAAGGATCAGGAAGAATAACCATGGAGTAAGGCTTTTCCAGATAGAAGAAATCTCACGTAAAGACTCTTGGTGACAAGGACATGGTATGTTCTCTCGTTGAGAGGAGTTTGGTGTGTGAGAATGTTAAATAGGAATAAGGACTTGGAAAGAGATGAGGCTAAAGAGGAAAGCTAGGACCGGAAGCTATACAAATACAGGGCCTTATAAGCCAAACTTATAGAGAAATAGAGATTTTTATTTTTCAATCAGAAAGTAGATCATGCCTCTCTTGCTATTCTTATCTTAGTCTGGAAGCTTCCACTGGCAGACAGGTGCATTGGCCAGAAATCGAACCCAAGTCTCCCACATGGAAGGCAAGCCTTCTACCACTGATGTCCCTGTCTAAAGAGGTATATATACCGTCATTGTTGTTGAGGTGATTCTGACTCAGGGACACTGTGGGGCAGAGTAGAACTCTCCCATAGGTTTCTAAGGCTGTAAAATATTTACAGAAGCAGACTGCCACATCTTTGTCCTGAAGAGCGTTTG